TATATTTCATCACCCAGGAGAGTTGTCGAGTTGTAAGTTGTGAGAAGTTAAACTGAATACCTTAGACACAGAGGAATAGGTTAAACCTTAATTAAACCACATGCTGAAGAGGATCATGCCCACTGTGTGTTTAATTTAGAAATTGTTTTTACACAAGGATGGTTCCACAAGTACTAGGGCACCAATGAGCCAGTTACGAGAAGTACCTGTCTCACCAATTTAACCTTTCCCTTGTTTTCAGTAATATTTTCCACTATTTGATACTACTGTTAGTAATGACAATAACAAAATAGAATTACAATGTTAATAATTAAAATAAAAGTATCAATATTGATAGCATTAGTAAACAAAAAAATATATAAATAGAAAAATAAATAAATTGCCAACTCAAAGAATGTTGAGGTCACAATATCTACCAATTGACTCCTTTGTGGCTAAGTACTTGCAGAGCCATCTGTGTATAGAGGCAACATAAGACTAAAGTGAACACAAGATTTCCCAGGGGCATTTGGTTAATACCGTTATACCGTTTTTGTATCATTCTAACCACTTCTTTTCTTCCTCTTTTTCATTTTCCTCTCCTGTGTGCCTGTTCTTCTTCTTTTTTCTTCTTCTTCCTTTTATTCTTTTTCATTTCCCCTTCTCCTCCTCAACTTTCCCATATTATCCTTGTAATACATATACAAAGTTATGTTCTGGGAAAATGTTTTAATGCCTTAGGTAATATTTGTTCTCTTTTTTCAGGCATTTTGGCGAGAGCAACGAATTTTACGAAGATGATGACGAAGACTACACTTATGAAGAGGATGATTAGTCCTTGCTTCTGCTCTCATACGTTTTTTTCTTTATTTCTTTCTTTCTTTGTGTTCATATATATATTTTTTTTCTTTTATCTCTCTTAAGTTATTAACATAAAGTTGTGATCCTCACTATAAATGCTATTGTTATCACTATCACTCTAACTACATTATTATTATTGTTGTTATTATTGTTCCATCTTTACTTTTGTTCTTTTTCTCTTTTTCCTCGTTCTTTACGGGGAAAGTACTTGAACTGCAATAGATTTACAATGATGCAGATAGATTTAGGGGTCTAACATAGTGCTATATAGTCTTTTTGTTGGTTTTGATTAAATACCTGCATCAAGTTGCAGCTCTTGTTTTTGGTCAAGGGAAAGAGATTAAATGTTCAAGTTTTTGAGGATATAGAGTATGTATTTTTTACAGTTAGTATTTTTATTGTTGTTTTTATTCTTGACTTATTATCATTATCATTGTTTTTAATTATCATCATTGATTTTCATAATGGAACTATAGACATGTTTTTTTGTGGCTAATAGAAATATTTCAGTTACCATTTTTGTCATTGAGGTTTTTATTGTTATTTTTTTCCTTCTTTTTTTGAATGAGAGGATCAACATGTTTGTACTTGTGTTATTGAATTGGTAGTACAGACCCTATCTTTTTTTTCTGTGTAGTTGTAATGTAGTCTCATTTTGAGGTGCTTTACCAGTTGTTCCTAATGATAATGGCAACATTGCATAGTGAGATATACATATGTTTATAAATTATATGATATAAATATATAAACACAAAACCTCTTGTGATGATTTCTCAGTGTAATGTGTATTTTTACATTGAGTTATTCCCTGTTTACCATGGTGAAGATTATTGTTAAGAATGGTTTGCATATCATACGATATACACTAATCTTTGCTGTAGGGAAGTAATAATGTGAAGGTTTTCAAGTAGATGAGATGTTTGATCTTAAAATTTTTTCCCTAGAATGTCTGTTCTTGTTTGTGAACATGGTAGATTTTATGCAATAATGTTGTATGCCATGTTTGTCTGCTTTTTTTTTCTTCTTTTTCTTCTTTTATTTTAGACAGATGTTATCAAAGAGACAACTCAAATTTGAATATCAGTCATTTTGTATGCCAAAACTGAACTTCAGTTTATGAAGTACTTATACAAGTGTTTTTTTTTTTTTCACTATTATTTATCCAATTGTTAGAGATTATATAATCATACATGAGAAAACTTTTGTTTTCTCATTTTTCTTTTTATTTCCTTTTAAAAAGGAACTGCCAGTTTCAGACTATAAGAATATATGCTCGAACATGTGAATACATCTCCTATCTTCCTCCTCCTCCTTCCTCACCATCTTCCTTTCAAGACATAAGTCCTCATTTTGGAGAGAAGGCTTTATAGGTGGAATAACCACTAGAAGTTGTTCTCTCTTGATGCATGGAAAATACTCACATATTATGGTGATGATTTGAAGACCAGATGTGCATTGCCTAAAAGGAAATGAACAGAAGCCCCCTCTCCCTCCCTCCCACTTCCCAAGAGGGAAATAGATTATGCAGTAGCACTTACTGAAAGAGCAGCTGTGTTTTCCTTGTATCCTCATGTTTCGCAAAATCAAATGCTACTCTAGACGCGTGCCTTGTTTATTGGTATTTAGATAATAGGACTGTGTACTAAAGAGCCAATGTTTACAGCCATAGTTTAAAGAATTTTTTGGAAAGAGAAAGCAGAAAGAGTTATTTGCCAATTGCACAGTATACTCTTTTAGACTGATTATTTTGATTATCCTTTTTAATCTTTCAATTGCTTGTTCTGGCACAAATATAGGTCTAATAATCACTTCATTGTAATACATTGGTACTTTGAAATCATATTTGTGATATATAATATCTGATATGATGAAATGAATTTAACTAGGTTCAGTGGTAGTAATAAAGAACTTATTAAAAATTAAACCTTTTCTTTCTTTTCTGTTGTCTGATATCTCTGTCTGTTTTATTTTTCTCTTACTTTTCTTCTTTTTTTCTTGTTTTTTAAGTTCTAGTCGCACAGAGCTGTGGCTGTGAATGAGACAGAGGATGATAATAATTTAAGTGATAAAGTATAGAAAATGTTTTAAATTGTCAATATTTTTCATAGATGAATAAAAATCCTTAGGTTTGCATCTGGCTTACTGTTGAGGAGAAAAAACATTTGTTGAAAAACGGTATTGGTTGTGACTTCAAATAATAATGTCTTAAAGTACAGGTTTTCAGAAGTTCAAACAGGTAATTCTGATTGCCATGTGTATGGAGATAAAAAGTTATGTGAATTATTCTTTCACATACCTCTTTGTCCCATTTTATCAAAAGTCATTTTCCAAGAGAAGCAAACAAGGAGGCATTGTAGAGCCTCAGCAAAGGAGAGTGATTTTAAGAAAAATAAATGCTTAATCTACTAGTCTTTGCATAATCAGGATGTTTGTGTACAGGTGTATGATATATGGATGCAATTTTGTATTCTCACACTATTCCTAGAACTCTTTACTTATTTTCTGAATAAATTGTGTGGATGCAATCATGTGTAGCCAATTAGGAAGTGTCTTATTTTCTGAATAAATTGTATGAATGCAATCATGTGTAGCCAATTAAGGAGTGTCTTAGTTACACATTTACTTTGTTTGCTCAACAATGCAGGTGTAGTGATGATTCCAGATTAGGTTAGTTATTTATATTTGTGGCTTAACCACTAGAGCTTTGTTTCGGCTAACACAGATCTGACCTGCTCTTTGGAATCTAGCCCAATAGATATATGTTGCAGTAAATAGCACAAGCCTGCTTCTATATTTACAAGTACTGTATGTTTATGAAACCCTGCAGATTTGTTGAGATTTACTGTTTGGTCAAACTATTAGCTTCTGGTTAAGCTGAATGCTGGCTGTAAATGTGGTTTCCTCTAAGTCTGGAAACCTCTTGGTCCCAGTGAGATTTTGAAGTAAATTACTGCTGCAAAAGGATTCACCTAGAGTTTAGGGATCCTTTTGAAAGTCTTCTGTAATTACAAATCATTAGTTTGTATATATGTTTATGTTTTGATATTGTTAGAAAGGGAAGCAGTGGAAATGGAAATTAGTAATAACCATAAATTATTATTTTGTGAAATAGAAATGTGCACATAGTTGTTGCACAAGATGATTATCAAGAAGTATCAACATTTTGTGAAGGTTTTCCTTTACTATGTTGTTAGTTTTCTATATCCTTTAATAGTTTTTATGTAGCAGCCTATGCATTATAGCCTGCACAAAGAAACATCTTGATAAATGTAAGAGAGAGAGAGAGAGAGAGAGATGAATTTATTAATAGATAATCTTCCAGGGTCTTTGTGAAAAGGTTAAAGAAACTTCTATTATATTTGCCTAGTGCATCTCTTTTGTATTAAGAAGTGCAGCTATCTGGAATGCTCAGATGTTTTCTTTGATGAATATGCATATTTTCTTTTATTCTTTTTTCATCTTCATGTTAGTTTCCTTTGTTGATATTTAATTAAGTTGTCTGTGTTGGGATGGGTACATCCCTATGTTTGTGTACTCTCCCTCCCCCTTCCCCTCTCTCTCTCTCTCTCTTTCTAAAAAGTGATATATTGTACAGTACAGTTATATTCAGACATTTTAATTTGTTTGGGCCATTAGTATTGAGAAAGAATAATGGGATTTTTCCTAAAATACTAATAGTGGCCCACTCACTGAGCCTTCTCCCAGGGAAATTAACATTGGTTTGCTAACTGAACAATCTTACATGCAGAAATGATATTGTATAGAAAATAGGTTTAGCTAGCAAATATGTACTCCATATTGTGCACAACGCTTAGAAACTTGTACAAGTAAAACAAAATTTTAAATTGTGAAGATTTGTACCTGAAATTGGGATGCATTTTCTTTGATTTGAGCTCTCATAATGTTATGCATATAGCTTTGTAAATAGATGTTTATATATTTGTTGACAATGTAGGTTTGTAAAACTATTACAAAAATAAATATACACAAGTTGATCCTGTTTTTATTATTAGCAAATTCCTTTCAGAATTGTAAACTGTGTCTGTGTGCGCCTGTGTGTTTCTATGTGATAGGAAAAGTCCTAAATGATTTACAAATTATATTTCAAGTTGACATTGTCCCAAAATAGCTAATATAACTTTTTCTCATATTGTCTTTGAATGTAAAGAGGGAAATATAAAAGAAATGTAGAGATATAACTAGTGTAAAAACATATCCCAATCTTCATACCAAGAAATGACGAAAGAATGGTGCAGACACTCATGAAACTGAACTTGGAAAAAGAAGACACTGCAGAAAGTTCATGAATATATATAAATATATATTACATGTATTTAGGAATGAATATATATATATACATCTATATATATATATATATATA